AATCATACTGATTAGTAGTTTATAGGAATAACATTTTATTGAAAAAAATTAGGAATTCATAGGAAAAAATAAGTTTTACATAAAAATGGTCAAAATTTTGATATAGATTTTCTCATATTTTTTATGTAAAAAAAAATTCTTTTCCTTATGAATACACAACTTTTTTAACGTACACTTGTGTGAACATGCATTCATACAATGTATACTTTTTTCAATGCTATGTAAAGTTATTACTATCAAATTTACTTATTTCAGGTTTATAGTTCTTAGCAGATGACATGGCAGAAGCTCATTCAGCTGTAGCATTTAGTTTTTCCATAACTCATGAAGGTTGGGATGTTAATTTTGATAGAGAAGTTTTAAATTTAGTATGGCAGTCTGGTATCCGTTCCTGGAAAAAGAGATTCTTCAGATTTGTTGTAAGGAAATGAATATTTATTTGTAACACAGTGTTTGAGTGTTTGAAGCATCTATTAAAGTAATTAAATTAATTTTAGAACAACTTGAGAAGTGGTGTTTACCCTGCTTCCTTGGAAAGCTTGTGGTTTACTATAGCTGTGGTAACTGCAATACACTTTGCAGGTTACAAAGTACCTTATGACCTTGTTGGAAAAGCTGCACCATATATTTCAGGGTAAGTTTACTGACTTTCTTTCAAAGTATATATTAACATATGTATTATTAATATTTAATTACCTATTTCTTTATACTTTTATAGCTCTTCAGTATTGGCACACTTAACAGGATCTTTTATAGTTGGACTATTTTTATGGTTGATGGTAATATATGCAATACGATACACCTTAAAATTATTGCTCATATACAAAGGATGGATATATGAATCAAGAGAAAGGGGGTCTAATGCTACAAAAATTACCAAAGCATGGACCACATTAGTGAAGTTGTTCTCTGGGTGGCATAAGCCAATGCTGTATAGTTTTCAAGGATCATTGCCGCGGCTACCGTTGCCCTCAGTGGAACATACAATGAGACGGGTTAGATTGTAGAATACTTCATAATCCTTCATATATTAGTCATGATATGATAATACTTCATATATTTTTTTATTTCTTTTTAATTTCTTTTCTCTTCTACAACTAATTATAATAATAATTTACCATATATATTTACATGCAGTACCTACGAAGTGTTCGGCCATTGCTTGACGATGAAAATTATGCTCGTATGGAAACATTAGCTAATGAATTCCAAAAAGGTATAGGTCTGAAACTTCAACGTTATTTGATATTGAAATCTTGGTGGGCTACCAATTATGTTTCTGATTGGTGGGAAGAATACGTTTACCTACGTGGACGATCTCCTATTATGGTGAATTCAAACTTTTATGGCATTGATGCTATTCTTATGCATCCTACTAAAGTACAAGCTGCTCGTGCTGCAAGTTTTATTTCCTCATGTTTGCAATACAGACGACTTATTGAACGGCAAGAATTAGAACCGGTTAGTAAATAGGTTTTTT